CAAGATCAGGACACCAGATCACGTGCGCGACCATCTCGAATTGCGCGCAACGTCAATCTATTATCGCATCGATCTTTGATGTTCATCGTCGGTCACAGACAAAAGTTGTAGTACTGGCGGTGTAAAGTGGGAAAAAGAAAGGTGGCGGGACGCGTGCTGTCTACCTACATACCCAACGGCCTCTGCTTCGCAACCACTTCACCACCAACAACCCAAGCGAACCCTGAATTTAAGAGATGGAAATATTCAAGAACTCTGGTCAGCGAATAGGACTTCCGTCAACGTACGAATTAGACCCTCCACGCACTGCGCTCATTACACCCAAGCGTGCATACCAGGTACCACCATCTCGAATTCTCAACGCCAACAGTCGTCTACAACATGTCGCAGTCCTATAATCTAGCAGCTAGTGGCAGCAACGAATAAAGACGCTTGTGAATACCAGCGCTGACATGTCCAGATCAGTTCCTTGGTTCCAGTTCCGCCGATAAAGGCCCACTTAGCTCCAACGCATGCATGCCGCATGTCAAAATCAGCACCCACTAAACACCAAGACCCCACGACCCACACCCCCGGCTTGGAATGCGATCTCAGGCTGATGCTACAGAAAGCTGATGTTCCTGCTTCTTCGCTAGGTCACAAGTCGTCTTCTGGGTTTATAACCTCCACCAGCCACCCATTCTTTCACATACGACCATAGGACAATGAGAATTAGGCTTCCCGTCCGCTCAGCCATATACAAGCATTGTACCGGCGGATTAGTAGTTAGGTGGGTGACCACTAGCGAATCCCCGCTGTTGTATGTTTTTGCACTTTTTTACCATCCTTTTTGCTACCAGGTTCGATGACCAGAGGCATCCCGGAGACGACGAGCCTACTACCCGGGAACATGACAGACAGCCTCTACTACCCTTAGAGAGCTATGTCACTTGTTCACAATAGGCCCTTTCCAATTCCAACAGCTCTCACGTCGTCGCTCTCAACCTTGCAATAACTGTATTGTGGGCAACCCCTCGACCTACTACATACTTTTTGCTTCAATCTTTGCTTCAAAGCAGCCCGCAAGGTCAGAGAGGAGCTCAGAAGTCTACTAAGCTGATGATTCTTACCTTGTCATGTTCAAACTCGCGAAGTCGCTCTTTCGAAGACAACCATGGCCCCAACTCAAATTCCCGACATCTGGGTTCGAAATCGTCAGCAATGCGGTACTGTTCGAAGAAGAGCAGCTTAAGGAGTTCCACAGGGGCCTCTACTATCCTGTCAACATAGGAGATGTTTTCGCGTCGAAGTACCAAGTAGTAGGCAAACTTGGTTTCGGTGTTACGTCAACTGTTTGGCTGGCTCGTGATCTACAGCAAGTCGGCATTCGGCATGATGCTAGCTATCTATACTAACAGCAAGCCAGCCGCCATGTCTACACGACCCTGAAAGTGTTCACACGAGAGGGAATGGACCAGGATGAGTACGACATGTACAATGTCCTAAGCACAGGCAATGCTTCGCATCCAGGATACAAACACGTCCGGACAGCCCTCGATTTGTTTACCATTCCCCGAAAAGGCGGCGATCATCGATGTCTTGTCCAGAAACCAATGTGGGATAGCTTCAAGGACCTCTTGAACAGGAATCCCGCGCACCGCTTCACGGACGAGCTGCTGAGAGCTGGGTTGTCGCAAGTGTTCCTCGCTCTCGATTACCTTCACACAGAAGCCAAGATCGTACATACAGGTACGTACGGCCTGAGACATGTCTACCCGCAATTTTATTGACAAGAACGTAGACATAAAAGCCGACAACATCCTCATAGAAATCGAAGATCAGGGCCTCTTGAAAGCCTTTGTCGACGCCGAAATGACACGTCCCTCGCCGCGCAAAGTCGTAGACGGCAAGCCTATCTACGCGACACGCCAATTTGGATTACCGAAAGAATACGGTCGTGTTGTCCTTGGAGACTTCGGCTCTGCAGTCCATGGCGACAAACCTCAGATCCACGACGCGCAACCAGATGTCTACCGCTGTCCAGAGGTTATGCTAAAGACGGAGTGGGGCTATCCAGTTGATATATGGAACGTTGGAGCGATGGTATGTACCGTCTTTCAGCCTGAGAGGCGAGGGAGATCAGACATTAACCGCGGTGCACACAGATTTGGGATCTATACGAGGATAAACACCTCTTTCACGGCATCGACCCAATCGAAAAGCGATACCTGACTAGAGCTCATCTCGCGGAGGTAGTCGCGATACTCGGCCCGCCACCGATGGATCTGCTAGAGAGGGGGGCGCGGAGTAAAGAGTTTTTCGATGGTGAAGGGAATTGGATAGCCGAGATAGACATACCGCGAGGCTTGACGTTGGAGGGGGCAGAAGAGAATCTAGATGGAGAGAAGAAAGAGGAGTTTCTCCGGTTTGTGAGGTGCATGTTGCAGTGGAGGCCTGAGGATCGGTGGACCGCGAAGGAGTTACTTGGGAATCCTTTGATGAGAGGGGATTAACTCGACCTAGGCCAATACATCTCCCTAAACCCGGCAGCCACACGTCAACCTAGAAAAAGCCCGAACATCCTAGAGCCTACATCGACGTTAAGGTCACCTGCTTTGCATGTTCTTATGTCGATGTAGTCTCTAGACCTGTTCAGTCTTTTTCACTTGTTTGATATGGCTCGGCTCATGTGGTCGCGGAAGATACCATTGCATGCCCTCTTTTCATATCGTTCCGGTCGCTCCATGGTCCAGTGAGTATTGCCATCCTTGAAGGGGTAATCTTAGAGACTCCGACCAGCGCTCCGACTAGCATTGAGTCCGGCCGTGTTACGCCGAGCCGCTCTCAGCATCCCTCAAGAACTTGAGTTTCCAACCAAGGATCACGAAGTACAGCAAGAAGGAACGCGGTATATTGATAAAGGTGTATGGATAACATTATCATTTCCAATTCTATCGGTCTATAAACAAGAAGCTATGCAAACGCTCAAATGCGATGTAAATATGTACAATATCGAACGGTCTCCACCAGCCCAGCATCTAGGAAGAGTAAAGGCACTTGTAGGTGGGGTCCTCCTTGAGAGCCTTCATGGTGAAGGGAGTGCATCCCTCAGAGCCAGCAGGCTTGTCAACACCAGAGAGCCAGATCTTCCAGCCACCGCCGACAGCGCCGGGGCAAGCCTGGAAGCCAATGTCGCCGGAAAGACCACCAGCAGCGAAGACAAGATCACCGTCGTCGTTGATCTTGAAGGGACCGCGCTCCTGGTTCTTGCCAATGGGCTGGACACCAGTGGAGTAGCGGACGTTGCCCTGGCCCATGCCGCTGCGGTCGACGTAGAGCTGGAGAGGGGGGTTGAAGGTGTAGATGTAGACGCTGCCGGTCTCCTCGTCGAGAGAGAAGGAGGCGTAGTTGATGCCGTTGGTGACGTTCTCGCGGTCGCCGTTGACGGCGCAGGTCTTGTTGTTCTCCGAGGGGGTGTTGATGAGGAGGCTGCCGTTGGCGGCCTGGACGTTGCCGTACTGGATGGGGGTGGCAGAGCGGAGAGACATCAGACGGAAGATGTCGCCGGCCTCGGGGCGAGGGAAGACGGACGCCTGGGGAAGGGCGGAGGAGATGGCGGCCATGGAGGCAATGGCGGCGGCGGCGGTGAACTTCATGATGATGGTTTGAAGGTGTTGTTGAAGTGTGGGTGTGGTAGTTGCAGTGATTAAGTATTAGTGTAGAGTTGATGAGTTGATGTTTGGATGATGGCTTAGAGAGAGCAGCATCTCATCTCTCTTATATCCAAATGCCATCTCGTATTTCCTCCCCTTGTCCTACATCATGCCGGTGCTCAACGAGGCTGAACAATGCCCACCCTCGGCGCCGACGACCAAAGCGCAACGCTATGACTTCATCCAGTCGGGTAATTATCGTATCCCCAGTTTTTGTGACCCTGCAATGGCAAGCACCGGCTGTGGCGCGCCCCCCTCCCATGACCGTCCAGAAGATTTTAGGCGGAGATGACGCATAATTGCCACGGCATAGGGCCGAAGCCCTTGGCATGTGTCCGAAAGTGGTAAAGCGCAGCCCCTTGTCGAGCTCTGATTGGTGGCGGCCTCGGTCGGCATGCGCTCAAAATAGATACAGCAATGTCCTCTCCAGAAAACATTCATGCCGAGGATATGCCCTTTGAAACTAACGGTGTAGACATTCGCGTTGGGAGACAGATGTGGTCGCGTCCAGTCGAATACGATGGAAGATCGCAAGACGATGTTACTTCCACTCGTAAAGGTGGATTTCAGCAGCTGCTGGCAGTGCTGCTGCAGTGCTTGGACAGCCAATTCGAGAATATCGTCAATGCAAAAGGTTGAAAGCCCGGCATCGTACCGGCGTATTTCGTATTTGGGTAGGTAAGTACCAAAGTATCCCCGCTGTTGTATGTTTGTGCTCTGTTTTTAGTATATCGATCGGATCTCGGAGGTAGAAGCGCCATCGAACTTCCTCTCCTGTCTTCCGCGCTCAAGCTCTAATGGTCTCCTCGCGAGGAGCCTCGGTAAGGTACATTGTGAGGTGGATATCCAGTGACGATGGTCGCCATCGAACTTCCTTCTTCTGCACTGATTCGACTAAGATTTAGACACCAACTCTGTTCTTTCGTTCTGACATAGCATTAGGCGCTTGACATGGAGTTCGCGTACCTGCTTCAAGCAACAAAGCCATTTGCACACTCCGATCGCCCAACAGCACGCACGGCAGACCTCCTGGTATGCGCGGACGCGTTCATTTTGACCATGTAAAAGCGGTGGAAGAGGGTTCCCAAAGGGCGGTGACTAGAAGCGTCAAGTGGTTGAACGACGACGCACGTTAAGAGAAGCAACAGCTGGAGGAACACGTCGTTGATCACGTGGCGCTATTTCAGCTCATGGATTTCACACGGGAGAAGGACTGGGGTGATGGCGGTGATGTTGTCTCGCACTACGGTATCTATGCGTCGCATTCCGAACGGGATTTTGCAACGTTTCTTGGCTGTTCATGACCATCTAGACGGAGATGTTACTCAGTCCAAGCAAGATCTGGCAAACTCGTTAGCATTGTATAAAAGTTCTGAAAGTCTTGTTGCTGACCTTTTGAATGTAGCGCACCCCAACGATAACGTCATCCTCGTCTTTGAAGTCATTCTCGTCGCTGAAATCGGGATTGGTTGTGTCCAGGCATGTCAGGCATGATATGACGATACCCGTATACTTATCGCCCATACAACTGGGTAGTTCACGCTGCGCAATCTCGATGAGCGTATGCTTGAGCGACTTGGCCTTGCCCACTTCGTCCTTCTCGGAGTAATCCGGTGGCGGCAGGAGTTGCGACGGGGTGGGCTCTCCTTTCACACTGCTGTACGTGACGAGTGTGCGCCACATGCCTATCTCCAGGAGACAGACTCCCAGGCTGTAGATGTCGTGCTGCATCTTGTATGCTTCCTCTGGTTTCTCTCCTTGCCGTTCTGGGTGACGATACAGATCTCTCTCCCAAACGGAGTCGCTAGTCTTTAACGTGCGACCTGCATCTGCGCGAAACTTCTCGAAGCCAAGCAAAAAGGAGTGTGCGAGCTCCGTCTTGCCGCTGTCGAAGATGAGGACTGTTTCGGGGCGAATGCCTTTGTGGACGAACTCGTACATGTGGACGTAGCTTAAAGACCGCGCTAGCTGCTGTGCGAGGCGGAAGCGTACGCTGAGACTCATGCTTGGCTTCGATTCGATCAAGATGTTGCGCAGACTCTGCGGTGAGTGTAGGGAGGATGGTATGTGGAAATGGAAATCGAAGGCTTTCAAAGGGCCATTAATCTCCCTGTATACTCGAGCAACACCGCGGCATTTGAGCAAGCCGAAACTTATCGGATCTGCGTTTGCAAGTTTGCGGGCGAGATCGCGCACGTCTCTGCTCTGGATGTTGAGGCCAATGTCTGGTGTGGCAGGTACGGAGTCTGCGATAAGCTGGCTTTTGGAGCTACGCTCACAGATAGATGCCGTGGAATATGGGATTGCTGTATAGACCCAGTCAACCGTTTCTTCCGTTCGGAAGAACATGGTAGGCCCGCTTTGGGGGTCCATTCTGAGGCAGTCACGGACGTTCTTCGCTGTTGACATAATCTTGCGTTTATCGTGAGTTTCGGCGCCACCGGTTTTGAGGGATTCCTCCTTGAACTCCTTCAAATTGGTGTCAATCTCTGGGTTTGACATTCTGAGGGTTAGAAACCAAGTCGGGTCAAACGTCTGCTGCCACGCCTGTAATTCGCTTATTGCGGCGTCCAGACTCTTCTTGATCAGGGGGTACTTCCACTGCTTGTACTGCTTTTCTTGTACTTTACCCTCGCTGGCTTCGTTGATGGTGTCTCCGTCTCGCTTCTTTCCAAGCTTCTGTAATTGGTCCATTGCCGCCTGCAGCTTAACCTGCAGCACACCGAGTGTCTCTCTTTGCAACGCTTTGTGCTGCTCAGTCTGTATCGTCTCGATCTCTTGAAGGTACTTGAGTTGCGTCTCTATTTTCAGCCAGGTCATTTTCATGGAGAGTATTCGCTCCTTGATCTCGCTCGTCGCATTCCGATAACTGTTGTACATGTCGACGAGGCGTTCGCCATACCTGAGTCGATGGTTAGCAGGAGTTACTCTCATAATTAAAACACTCACTTTATCGCCAGGTCAACCGTTCCAATGACTGCAAGGGCTACTTCGACCGACATCGCGAAGTGAGAAGCCTTCAAGGTCACTGCAATACGCGACTGATCGCTGAGTAAGTAACAAAGATAACACCGCAGAATATGCATGCGCAGGAAAGCGCAGGGTGGCGACGTACCTTCAAAGAGCGAATGGAGACGAGATGAGTAGGGATAGCCGTTCCTGGCTGCGAGGGAGGGGCCGTCAAAGCTGCGAATAGAAACGGGAGCGGCTGTGTAAGAGAGCCCAAGGCTGGCTAATATACATACGAGAAGAGCTACAGGGTTAATCTCCTCCAGCTGTACGCAGTTGGGGGCGAGATTGGCAGTGCCTGCCGTGCCACCTGGATACATCGGCGGGGTAGGTTGGGGTTGCATCATGACGCCGCTGCTACTTCCGAAGTACATCGCGCACCTCGCAAACTTTCTGCCCATTTTTCTTCCATCGCTACCCAGCCATCAATATTATTGTTGTTGTGTCTGATCCGTCCCAGGCCTTCGCTGCTTCCTCTTGGCGCACATGGCTGCCCCACTTTCCAAAGATACCGGGGCTATGGCGCTAGCGTCAGACTTGGTGACCGATTCCAAGCTGGAGACAATATTCAAGAAAGGCGGCGACGTTGTCCATGTGATCCAAACGGCGGGCACGACTCCTTCTCAAAGAAAAGTTCCAAAGAAACAGAAGTGGAGGCGGACCAAAGATCTCGGCCAGGGAGGATTCGGCGTCGTTTGGCTGGAGAACCTAGTAGGGGGCGGCAAAGATGAAGTGCAGGAACGAGCTGTCAAAGGAATGGAGAAGAAACATGCGAAGAACTACATTCGTGAACTGCATGCGATAGCAAAGTTTTCACAAGACCAAGTAAGTCTTCTTCCATCTTCATTCAAGCCATGGTCTCATACGCTACACGGAACTAATGCGCATGTTAAACTAGTTCGACACATGGTTCGTCAAATCATTTGGATGGTACGAACTCGACGAACATGTATTCATCTCGATGGAATACCTTCCCCACGGCGATCTGAGCGCTTATCTCGACAAGTCCGGCCCGCTACCAGAGGAAGAACTCCAACGCATCACTTGCCAATTACTCGAAGGGCTGGAGTGTATGCACAAACACGAGTTCGCGCATCGCGACCTAAAGCCACAAAACGTGCTCATAAAGGAACCTGGCCCTGAATGGTGGGTCAAGCTCAGCGATTTTGGAATCAGCAAGCGTATGGAGAGCGCCGCGGCGGAACATACAGTTGCTGGTACCCGTTCGTTCATGGCACCCGAAATCCTTGTGCAGGACGGTGTACTTCATTCTGCGACTTTCCCCAGATCCAAACCATATACAAATGCGGTAGACATCTGGGCCTTAGGGGCGTTGGCATTCAAGGCTCTTACCGGGAAACAGCCTTTCGCAAAGGACTTGGCGTTATACGTCGATGACAAAATGCCTTTCCCTCACGAGTTGCTACGAACGTACAATGTCTCACAAGATGGATGCAACCTACTTGCGAGACTTCTGGCAGCCAAGCCCGAGGATCGACCCTCAGCTTCCGAAGCACTAGCTGATCTTTGGCTTGCAGAACAACGAGTGCAACCCTCTAAAGTGTCGATCGAATCAGTGAGGTAAGACAACATCCAGTTTGTTTCTATCGGGATACTAGTGTTCTGACCATACAAAGGCCGACATCTACGTTGACTGAAAATAGTCATAGTACGCTTGACTACGTCCGGTATCTCACACGGCGTGATCAGAAACCAGCCTCTATCGAATCTCAGACCCTTGGTGATACGGAAGCTTCTACCTTAGTGTCCAAGACCTTTGACAATGTTAAGGCTATAGCCATGGACAGCTTCTCCAACTTTTCACGCCGGAAATCTCATGCCATTCAGCTGGACTCACACGACAATGCCCTCGGTCTTACAACCCTAGTAGAAGAACCATCAATAGCTGCCAGTCAGCCGGCTGCCTCCACTCTACCGACTGATGATGGTTTGCAGAAAGACCCGTCAAAGTCTGAAGATTCGTTAGTTGACTCGCAAATCGCAACTAAAAGCCCAACGCAAACCTCGGCAAGAGTGGAAAGCGTGAAGAGTTCGAGAAGCTCGGAAGAAGAGCGCCCTTCTACTAATACAACACCATCACACGTAACACCATCAGTCACTTTACAGTCTGCTCTAGATAGCAAAGAGTCTCTAGAGGAGTCAGAGGAGTATTTCAATCGGCCTATCGCAGTCAATGACTACACACTTTCGCCCGGCACGACCATATCAGAGGCTTCGCCATCTCTGTCAGCATCGGAGACTTCACCAAGAGCGCCCAGCGGTCACTGGACGAGAGCTATGCCGTTTTCCTCGCTTTCCGTGGACAATGTCAGTCCTGTCAGTCCGGGATGGTCAAAAGACCCTTCGATTGTTCAACAAAAAGGCTGCTCGCTCAGGCCACTATCTTTGCCGAACGACCTTACGCACACGATGGATCCAGATGCGTTGTAAGTACATAATCACTATCAGAACTCATTCCCTGATGTTTACACATATAGCATCATCGTAATACCGGGTGTGGGTGATCCCCCCGTCGAGATATGGAGCAGAGACGGAGTGCAAAATGAGCCACTTGTACGCGATTTTACAAAGCACTTCATGAACATACAAGTCTTTGCACTTGAACATGACTTGAGAGTTAATGGAAAAGCTTTTCGCCGCTGGGAACAATTACGGGAGAGTTCGCATACAATGATGCAGCTGCTCCACGAACATCGCGAGCAGACTGGTGTAGGTACTCACACTCTCAGAGAAAACTCTTCATCTAATCGAATTCCACAGACTATGTCTATACCTATGGTTTTTCTGGGACACGGTGTCGGAGGCTTGATCATTAAAGACGTACGCTCGTGCAACAATAAAGATAGATTAATGCTAATACCGGCCAGTTCTTCTGGAATTCAAGCGGACCCCAGCACCGAGGCTTTCCAATCCGTTGGTATGAGGACATAGTCAACAACACAGTCGGAATTGCTCTACTCGGAACACCCCATCTCACGAAAGCAAACTCGACGGATGCAGAGAGCATACTAGGCGTCATTACGAGAGCACCGACATCCAGAAAGTCGGAGCCCCTTCACAGGAAGCTCCTAGATCTGAAAGACACCGAATATGTCCGCTCTCTGTCAGAGGAGTTCGACAAGTATATCCGGCAGAATGTCCCCCGTCTGCCCATCTTATCAGTCTGGGATGGGCGAGAAAGCGATGCAATGCGAATAGAGGAGACGAGGTTGACTGGGCGCAGATGGAGAGCAGAGAGATTTGTGGTACGTCACAGAGACAGCATACCCACCATCAACGATGATGGGCCTTCATGAAGAGAGTGTCTAATATATGCCGCAGATTGTCACGTACGAAATGGCCAAGATGGGCTTGCCAAACGAGGAGATGATGGTAGCTGATTGCAATCACTATCAGCTGTGCACACATAGCAATCCCGAGTTTCGAAAGAAGCTCATCGGCTTTTGCCATGAGAAGCTCCTGGAAGCACATGGCAGAAAGTTGGGAGGGCCAAGTAGCTCATCCGTGGCTTTGGACAACATCTTGGGCGAAGGGTCGAATGTGCCCTCGCCATGGTAATACCCAAGTTCATGGTACTGGGTGGCAATGTGTATTTTTAACAACACTCGTTACTTGCCGTTTATCCACTATCACTACACCTACATTACGTCTCTTGCAGCTACACGTACCCAATCTCGCACTGCACTGTGAAAGGGATGAGAAAAGGGGCGATTGCCTCCCACGTGCACTGATCAGGCTCACATTGATCTTATGTCAGACTTTGGGCGAACACGGCAGTTAGCATGCCAACGGAGGAGAGCGGTTCGAAAGAAGAATGAGGCTCCAGAGGAACGGAACTCCCAAAGGGACTACGCTATCGCGGGCAAATGGATGCCACATTGCGAAGGCAGCTTCCTGGGAGACGTTGCAGTGCGCGTCCAGCGCCTGCAAGAGCGAACGCGCATTCCCTTGCGGGGTTCGTCAGCCATTGAAAGCAGCTGGAGCCGCTCAACCCAGCAAGAACGACGCGGCTCAAGCACTGCTCCATGCACCCGCATTCAGCATCACTATTGATTGCCACATCCCCTGTATTGACCGACTGACCACAACATCCCGATTGCGTGCTATGTGCGAGCTCCAACAGCGCCATTACCCCAAAAAGTAACACCGCAGAGATCGCGACCAGAGACAATCTTGCAAAACCCCAGTCACAGATCCCCCGAGATAAGCCAAAAAACCGTGGACGGCGCGAAGCCTCCCCATGTCAATCCAACGGCTTCTTCGGTCCTTCTCTCGGCGAGATCAGCAACCGTTTATCTGCTGATCATGAACGAAACGAGTGCTACACAGTCAGCCCTAAACAACCAGTGCGGGTGCCACCCCTCACGACTGCAACCGGTTTTGTGACTCTTCTCAACAAGTTCCAACGTGCTGGCCCTGTTGGGCGTTGTTGGGCATGATATGTAAGGATGCTCGTTGTTTGCTCGACCACATTGGGGCATCCACAAGCTTGGAATGGGAGATGAGGATGTCCCGGCATTACTCCAAGAGGCAATGGGTTATCTGATGGTATGTCGCACTGGTGCCCAATCATTTCTGCAAGCGTTTCGTTGGGGAAGACGCACGCGCAGGGTATCGATATCCAGCTCTCTCATCTAGGTGCCCAGATCGCTCCTGCACATCTTGCAGCATCGGAGTTGTTTCAAAGAGCAGACCAACGGCGCCGCTAAATGTTGCGTAGTGATCATCATGGCATCATTAAAGACTTTAATTACCTGCAGGATTGCGAGCTGTGCAGCATGGTGGGTGGTAAGGTTGACACGTAACTTGCGGATGTCCTGTCCAGACAAACGGTCCGCACCGAAGTGTTCGATCATGCAATGCCTGCAGTGGTCAAACTTTCGGCTTCGATCAAACCTACCGGACCAGACCCCTTGCAGCGATCGAGAGGTCAGAATAGAGCTTCGTGGAGATAAGATTGCTAGCAGCTTCCTGATTGGTGTGTATATGCGAGAGGGTATTGCCGTGCAGCTCGCGGATGTTTCCCCATATCGACACATCGTGAGCGGTGCAGCTTGGTGTTGCATAATACGATGTAGCGTGCCTAGATTCTAGGGCTGTCATCGAGATTCGTGGTGGCGTTGTAGCTTAGTACCGCACGACAGTCGTCCGAATCGGATGTTCTTCGTCGTCCGCCAAGCCGAAAATGATCGGTAGCAGACTACCATCGTCATCGGCCAACTGCTCCGCTGGAAGTGTGTGGATGTCATTGCTGAATGAGTCAGTTTCGCTCTGTCCGACCCAGCTCCCCGCAATTTCCACCTTCATCCCACGTGGCAAAGATGTCTGAAACAACCAAGTTTCCTAGTTAGTCCAAACCAACATGAAGAAATACACGGATGAACGTGGTGAGACCGTGATGAGCATCCAGGGCGGAAAGACCCGCTAAGGCTGTCTCTTGATCCGCGCGCACAACGTCAACCGCATAAGGGCCTTGGAGTAGAGGTAGTCGGGAAGACCTCGCGGATCCGTGTCTAGACGCCCTGAAGGATTTTTGAATACGGAGTGGCCCGCCTGGTGAAACAGCGTTGCCCTTGCGTTTGCGGTGCGGGCGTGAGCGAACGTCTGTGACGAGCTCACTTTTTTGGAGGGGCTGTGGACTGGTGGCTGAACAAACTTCGTCAGAAGGGCATGTTCCTGGGCTACCTAGTCTAGGCCGACATCTTCAACGGCGGAGCAGTAGTGAAGCAACGGTCATAGTACAGTAGTGAAAAGCTGACAGCTCAAGTGCGTGATCTTGCCGCGCTTGTACGTACGAATGCGGACTTGATGTCTGTCTCGAAAATTCGCCGGGTTTGGCAGATGTCTCCGATCTTGTTGAGTGGATTCGTCTATCCTGCTACACGAAGGTCTGCGCCAGGAAGGTTTCTAACGCACGTCATTCCGCAATGTATTGCACTTGCAGCACACGAGTCTGGTTCGACGTTAGAGACAGTGGAGCATGCAATTCAATGCGGCTACCAACTGGCAGTGGGCTGAAACAGTGCTGGTGCAAAGTCGTACCATACTGCAGGAAATTTCGTCGATAATCGAGAGTCCATTGTGCGAATAGGATTAATTCAACATTCGGATTATAGCCCCGCCGGAGCTCATTCGTTCAAAAACCACGAGGCTGAACATCAGGGCGACAAAGTTAAGGATACAGCCGGTTAGTGAAACTGTTGAACACGAGAACGTAGCACATGGCTAGTCGCCTCCAGTAGGTCCAGAAGGTATGAGGTAACTAGACAGTGACGTTGCAGGCGCCGCTGAGAGAAAGTCCAGCCCTCAGGCATGGTTGAGTCATTGACAGGGAGAGGGTGCTTTCTCAGTTGAGGTTACAGTATGACCTCCCGGGCAACTTTGGCAAGCCCATATCTTGGCCCAGATTGACAGCACAATCGAAAACTGACGGTGTGTGGTGGCGTTGTTCTACGGCAATGTTAGACGATCTATTGATGTGCTAGCAGCTAGCTGGCCAATCGCAATACGCCATGGCGGATGAAAGCCGTGATGTTTAAGGGTACCGACGGCGTGCTTGAAGCCACACGATAAAGAAACAGCGCCGCCGTTTGTGACGCATGATTGTTCAAGTGATGTTCCTGGATGTTGTGCCGAGGTGCAAGCGACGAGACAGGTAACGTCGTATGAAGCCAACAGCGGGAGTTACGGGAATGTCAGGTGCCACGAAACTGTGCAACAGACGATGTCCTTAGTTACAAGTCCGGCGAGTCGATAGTCGTGGGTGCCGTCCGCTCGAGCATCTGCCTACAGCGCCCCGGCAGGGTCATGGATGAAACATCGATTAATGCTCCGGATGCTACTGCAACGGGGCGAATAAATCCTGCGTTGGAGTTAATCTCAGGAGAATAAAACTGCAGGTTGGGTGTGCAACCAAGTTCACGTGGCGCCCGCACTTACATTTTGGACTACAGCTGCGCGGGCCGGACCCCTCCACGACGCTTGACAAATGAGGACTCGACATTGGCCGAGGTAGCCCCGAAACAAGCTTTCCCTCTGGTCCCTGGGGAGGAGTTCGCCGCACACGATGTTCGCACTCGTTGCGCTCCGCGGAAGATAGCCGCTTAGCGCATTGCTAGCAGGAAATATCCGTACGATCCGGATCTCCAGGATCGTCCAGGGACCTCATCTTCCGGTGTAGATCATCCCCGTCATGTGCACCCATTTGCGCACCTGTGCAGTGTGGAAGTAGGTCTAATGGAGCTTGCCGACCTGCGAAAATGCCCAACACGAGGAGTAAATGGATGCTGAGGGTGGATCTCGCCGCGGATAGCGCCAAGGTACACTATCAGTCAATAGAACATGTCGGGGGTGATCCTAGGTAGACTGCACGCCGGGAGGGCTTGATCGCCATGGAGTCTCTCCCAGGTCGAAGGCATGCCGGCTTTCTCAACGTTGACGAAACAGGATCTGGACTTTGAGCATGCTGACTCAAGTTGGCGTTCGCGACAAGGAGACGTTGAGTCGCTTCTTCCTTTCCAACCGCGACGCCGTTCGGTTCCGGAACGGGCGATGAAAACCGAGGCTGATATCGACACGTGATACAGGCTACATGGAAGGATTATCGTGACGCCGCTGTGCATTTGCGCGTCGGTGTGATGGTCGAGCAGATGCTGCAGAATGTTACATAGCACCATCGCAGTCATCGTGTCCACTCCAAAAGTAGGATCGATGCGGTATTTGCGACTGAGCCGTGATCGTACCGTACGCAACAAGACCCTGCTGTGTGTTTAGCGCGTCGCGGTTGATGTGCAAAGACATCACATCATCCAACTTGTGCTGATCGTAGCCGACTTTCGCCTACCCGCGCACCTGAAGTCACACTCGCTGCCACCTGCGCCTCGGGAACAATCCGGGGCAGGCGAGACGCTGGCGCAGACTCAATGAGCTATCCACAAGAGCCTGCCTCGAAAGCGACAAGGTACATGTCTTGTCCTGACTTGACGATTCGTGGGCGCAGCTGAACTTCTGGTCATAGCAGGAAGAATAGCGCGGTTAGCAGTGGGCGCGATAGGTCTCGTTGCGAGAAAATCAGACCATAACGACACGAATGAGCACGTGTATTGGAGAGTAAAAAAACTAATCCAGGTCAGCGCTATTGCGATTGAAACGCGAACAGGACAAGGAGGATTAGGTTAGTACAGTCTGCGATAACCTGATGACCTGATTCCAGGTTGAGAGTGGACTCACTGATCAACGACCGACTGCGAACGTGCGGCCTGAGTCGATGCTGGTTGTATATATGTCCGGGACCTAT